AGTTGTTTACCAGTCGCTCCATTAATTGATATGATCGTCGATCGTTTGATTTTGTCAGATTTTATGAACTTCCCCGTTTTTGAATTAATCTTAGGATTGGTATTTTTGTTTATCTAGCCTGCAACTTTTCAGAATCGCAGTGATTGGGGTCGAAATGGATTATTAATACAATCACTAAAAACTACACATTATTTTTTTTCATATAGCATAATGACATGTATAAAAACTGTCTCCAGGGAGCCAATTGTAAAGTAAAAGCAAAATAAAGGACAATTGATTTAGAGTAACATCGCATTCTCGGTGTCTTAAATGTATCGCTAAATAGAAAGGCGCTTTCCTGGAATAATCTTCATCAGAAACGCTCAAACCCAAGCACTTACACCCAAGAATGTACAAATAAATGAAAATGATACGAACTATATACCTAATAGGGAAATAAAAAAGAATAGTCAAATTCAGCCTAGATCATGTTTGCCTGAGGGAGTAAGTACCTTAGTGTATGTTTACAATGTTTGATATCATAGCCAAATTTAATTATCAAACTTGCTCCGTATATTGTGATCTTATCACAGACTATAAAACTGGTATCAAATAAATGGTTATTTAGACTTTAACCGACCACTAAACATCACGTTGTTCGGTATACCTTGTCATGAGCTCAAGGTCATTAGTCCAATGTTGCACATTACAATTTTTTTCAACAAAGTTGATTCTTTCCTGTTACAAATGGTATTTTACCTTTTTACCCAATCTTTAAGAGTTTGCTGACAAACATGTTTATTATATGACTTGATTTAACTTCATATAGGTTTCTATTATATTTTATTTTATTTCCGTAATTAAATGTGAAAACAAAGCACCACAACATAACATTTGAATATTCCTTCTCCAATTTAACAATTTCAAAAAAACTGAAGATACCAATTTTGCAAACACTTAATATGAATTGATGGTGCTGTCCCTAAATAAAGCCTTTTACCAATATTAGATAAGTGATGGTCTCGAACGTAATTAGATGTTATTCTAGCATGACCTTAATTAATATTTGAATTTTGCGGAGATTTTTATTTATATCTACGATCACTTTGGCTGTTTCAACTTGAGAGTTTATTGTACACGAAACGCGCGCCTGGCGAACAACATTATAAGCGTGGTTTCTTTGGTGCGTTTTTACTTGCTATGTTATTGAGATGGTTTTATTGACGTTAAGCATTACGAATAAACTGTCAAATTGTACCATTTTTCGACGTAAAAATAGTATATTCTCATTTTTATGATTTCTTATGTAACCGATACATATTGATCGTTGTTATGCAGATAAGTTACAACACTGTTTTTAAATTGTTTATAATCATACTAAATCTTTTGAACGAGTTTAATGACGACATTAATTAGTCAAATAAATGGGGTATGAAATCAGACAACTTATTTCAACAATATCTCAGTATGTAATTTTTAGATTGTTCCTGTTTATTAATCTATTAAAAATATGCATTGGTGCATATGACTTTGATAAATACTACGATAATTAAATGACCTTGTACAAGTTTACTGATATGATTTAAATGCATTATATTTCACGTCATCATGGTCATAAGACATTTAAAGTTTACTGATATGTTATTTCCTAATATGGTATATTGTGCACTTTTCCTCATGTTTCTTCTCCTTCTTATATATAGAAAATAATAGGATATACAAGTTCAGAAAAGCAAATACTAGATATAAAGGTTAGCACGATTTCATATTAACGAATGCGAATTATCACTACTTATGAACCATGAACTGTTTATTGGTAAGGTAGTATTGGTCTAGCGGTAGTGTTTGGAGTGTTTTATTGTTTGTCTGTTCACCGTTCTTCGCAATTGGTTTTTACTGCCGCCTTAAAATCCCCCCCCCCCTTTTTTTACATCACATGCTCATGTTATTTTTGCCACGTTAGATATGAACAATTATAAAGAGCAATCCTATCTAAGCAATAAAACACTGTATAATGTATGTGATATACCGCCACTCAGAAGTCTTCAGCCCTTCTTAAACACTAGTAATACTGATTTGTTGATCGCAATGACATGTATTCGATTCCGTGATGCAAAGGCGATATAAATTAATTTCTAGTAAACAATGGAAATATAACTAGCATTTTTTTCTCATTTGTTGACTTAGTTGAATGAATAACAATTGTATAACGTTCCTTGATAACTGGAATAGTTGATATTTTAATCCTTATGAAGTCTTTTCTGTCAACATAGGACTAATTCCAACAAATCGCATTTGGATAATAACTAATTACATCAATAATTAAACAGCTTTAAAAAGGGTTAGTTAACCTTTCAAACCGTTCAAACCAGTTTGGAAATTATTTAAAAAAATAAAAATATGTCATCCAATTGATTGAAGATGTTTTATGTTCAACTTGTTGTATAAACATACCAACAGTGTATTGACTTCATGTTATTAGTCACAACGATACATATATTAGCCCCTTTTAATTGAGATTCTGCAAAAGGAAATCACGAATTCACCTACATTCCAACTGACTCCATTTTCAAATGTTTAAAATGACATCTGCGACAAAAATAAACCTATAGCTACCTTTTTAACAAGCAGAACCAAATACAATGGAAGTTCCAACCATGTACTGGCATCCGAAGCTGCACAAAACACCTTACAAATATTGATTTATTTCGTCTTCAAGCCATTGTTCCACTACTAAACTGTCTATTCTACTTTCTAGTACACTTGGTACAATCAAAAACCTGGTAATACATTGTTCAAACAAGGCCTTTGAAAATATTGGAATTAAATACTATTGGAGTGTCAAAAATTCGTTGGAAGTATTGATAAATTGCATGCTTATATTGATGATTTCAAATCTGTTCAAAGTTTTGATTTTTCTACTCTATATACCACTTTGCCTCATAATCTCATCAAGAAAAAAATCACACACCTAATTAAATGGGCATTTAAAAATTCAGGATGCGAATATATATGTTCAAACTCTTTTAGGTCATTTTTAAGTAACAACAAACAAAAGAACTATGTCAATTTGACCTGCTTTGATACGATAACTGCACTTGAATTTTTACTAGATAACTTTTTTGTTCGCTATGGTAATTCCGTATATCGTCAAGTTATCGGATTTCCAATGGGCCCTAACTGTGCACCACTTATTGCGGACCTGTTTCTGTATTGTTATGAGTTACAATTTATGACTAAAATCAGCAAAGACCCTTCGAAACAACATCTGATACAAAAATTTAATAACACTTTTAGATATTTGGATGCTATTCTGGCTCTCATTAAGGACGACTTAAGTATGTACACTAAAGAGATTTATCATGCTGAACTGACTTTCAAAAAAGCTAATACTAACAATGATTTACGATAAAAGAGATGATTTTTCATTTCGTATTGTTAATTATCCATTTTTAGATGGTGATGTTCCCTTGTAACCATCTTATGGTGTTTATATATCTTAACTTGTTTGATTCGCTCGCGTATGTAACAACGTATTTGAGAAAGAAATCTCTGTATTACTGAAAAATTATTACACCAGGGTTTTCGATATCACAAACTAGTCAAAACAATTACTAAATTTTATCATCGGTACAAGGACATCATTCGTAAAAATAAATCAACATGCAGACATCTTATTCGTTCAGATATTTCACATCCAATCTTTTATTGTAATATTCTATACAAAGCACAAAAATATCGTCATTCACCTCAAAGCTAACCAAACCTTTAACCAGACTTATTCAGGAGGGATTTAGTTACGATACTATAAGTTGATGGCATATTTTGGAATTAATATTGATTTACTTATAGGGTCTTTGCATCGGAAATAACCACATTTATTCTAAAACCAGTTGTTGGCAAGATACAGTTTTTGTTTTTCTCTTATATTTTATGATGGTATGATACTTAACCCCTAACGTGAGGGATTGTGCTTGATTTTCATATGATGAAGACATAATCTTTTAATCAGTTTAATTGAAGTCTGGAGCTGGCATGTCAGTAACTGCTAGTAGTCCTTTGTTAATTTATGTATCATTGTCATTTTGCTTAGTTTCTTCTGTTACCTATTCTGACATCGGACTCGGACTTCTTTTAAGCTGAGTTTTACTGTGCGTATTGCTGTGTGTTTGTTTATTCTACATTGGCTAGAGGTATAGGGGAAGGTAGAGATCTCACAAAACATGTTTAACCCAGCCGCATTTTGCGCCTGTTCCAAGCCAGGAGCCTCTGGCCTTATTAGTCTTGTATGTTTTTTTAATTTTAGTTCATTAATGTGTTTCGGAGTTTAGTGTGACGTCTATTTTCACTGAACTAGTACACATATTTGTTTAGGGGTCAGCTGAAGCCCGCCTCCGGGTGCGGGATTTTCTCGCTGTGTTGAAGACCCATTGGTGGCCTTTGGCTGTTTTCTGCTCTTTGGTAGGGTTGTTGTCTCTTTGACACATTCCCCATTTCCATTCTCAATTTTATGAGAAAAAGCAATTTCCATGCGTCTTTTACAGTTTATACATATGTCGTCCATCACTTTTGATATGACTTTTTTCTATTGTTCTCCGGGTTTAAAGTTTTCTTTTTTTTATATAGATATAATCGACATTTTCTACAAAAAATTGGTTATTATTCTGAATTATATTTTCGACTTTGCTATTGTGGTATTTTGTACTTGCAATAGTTATTTAGACTTCCCATATCTGTTTAGATTTAATCGATTTATATCGAGTTATCAAAAAGATTAATCAAAATTACAAATAGAATTCTGATGAATATTTCATAATTATTTCTTTCTTTAACAGATAAAAACAGTAATGATGTCTTAGAGTGCAAGTATTTGTTCAGCTTAAACATCTATGTCGTTATGTACCAAACGTCAAAGTAAAATTTGATTTCAATTTCCGCATAGAACGGAATACACATTCACAAAGAAAAAAAACATGATCAAAACCATACTTCCTGCCATCTATTTCAAGCCATGTCAATTGAAAAATATGGCTTTGCGTTATGTAGTTGTGTCGTTTAGTCTATTATTTTACGTAAGGCATTGTCTGTCAATTGGCTTCTGCAGTAGAACTGAAAGGTAATGTACATTGTAACATAAACATTACATAACGAATTCAAATGTTGTATGCCATAAACCCACTTGATCAAATGATCTATCAACAACTTTATTTATTTATCTATTGCTGTATTTGTTTGTAAGGTTTTCTTGTTATTTTAGTAACCGCGCAGATTTGTTATTTGTTTTTTTTGTTTGTTCGATTTTTTTTTTTTATTGTGTATTTTTAACGCCACTTTCAGCCAACTTGGCTGCTTTATGTCGGGTAGTTTTAATGTTTGGAGGAAGCTGTAGCATCTTACGAGAACCACCGATCTTTGGAAAGAATGCGGACAGTCCCTTGCAATTATGCTGCGAGCGGTTATAGAAAATACTCTGAGTTAACGCCCTTATGATCTATTTGAACATGTGTTGAACACGAAAATGCATAACATTTATCATATGTATTTCAATTGTGTTATAAGTGCTGAACCGAAAGTTTCGTGTAGTGAAACATGTTCTCATATTATGTAATTGCACGTGTTGTCAATATTAGACGTAATTGAATTGACATAAAATTGTAAAGTGTAACTTGTTCCAAACAACTTACACTAAATTAATGCTGATATGAAATGCGCACATCAATTTGATATACATGATATATGTATACACAAACAATTGTTTTAACAATATGATCAAGTGACTTCGTCAGCTTCCTTTTTTGTTTACTTAAACAACTACGGTAATTTTTTTCGCATCCAGAAACAAAATTATAGATCAACACTAAACTTCATAAACTCTTATTCCTTTTTTGTAGTGCGAAATCAAATGTTGGTATATTCTACTACAAAGAATATTTTTGCTGTGACAATTATGAGGCTCAAAAAGAAGTATGCCATGGTAAGTGGTACACATTAATAAGAAGCAGTTTTTATAAACATTTTGACCTCACAATGGTCTAAAAGTATTATTAAACCATGTGCAATTGCAAAATGGCTGTATTTTACTGAATTCTTGAAAACATATTCTGATTAGATATATGATTAATGTTACTTCTGTCAATTCTGTAATCAGATCGTTCATTATTCCTTACATAAAGCCAATCGATTAATCATTAGTATCATTAATCGCTATTGTTTTATTAATGACATTTTTAAACAAATTAGCCATCTAAGGTGTATTTTTTCATTAAAATGTCATGTAATATGCACAAACACATAACAGCATATTGATTTTGGTGGCATATCAGGAAAGGAATACATATTTCTTTGTCAAACAATCATCATAATGTATTGCTCGGAAATATTTTGCATATGGATATGTTTATTCAACTAAAACTTACTAATGCTTAGTATTCTAAGAAAAATATGATAAATATATAAGACGTTTTAACATGAATTCAGGATTACCTTTCTACTTTATATAACACTCCCGTGAACATTTCAAACATACACAAACACTCATACACACACACACATAGACGCAAACAGTTCTATTTCGGGCTACTAGACTTAGATCCTTCACGACGTTTTTAGAAATGAACGTCAGGTCGTATGCGATATTTAGTTCTTAGGATGTCAAAAAAGTTTTAGAAAACCCCTACCAACTTTTAAAAGTTTTAAAGTCATCTCTGTCAATATGACGTTATACCGTTTTTTATTATTATAAGACTTTAAGTATCTTTGAATATATGCTTCAATTTATATTCAAGTAGTTAAAGTTTGTAGTTGATCTTTTAATTTCATAATCTACATGCATGATCTAACGAGGGACACATATATGTCTCTTTCCCGGACAAAAGATTAAATAAAACAGTAAATGTGATGTTTTTCCTTTCATTATTTGGACAAATGAAGTTAGCTCTTAGTTCTAGATGTGATAATTTAATATAATACATGTAATACCTTCATTTATTTTGACATATATCTAGAAAATGTTTAAATCGTTATCTGGTTAAAGGTATCTATATAAATAACCTTCACCTTATATATTGAATTACGTTTCAAATAAACATTGGTATATGTGTATACGAAAAATATGAATTTCAGAAAGTAGATGTGTGTGTTTCCTTTGAACTATAACGCGTTCAATAAAACATGGTAATTTCATTGTCCTTGACCAAACTTCAAATTATTTGTCAAGTAGGTAATGTTATAAATACATATTTAAGTATATTTTAACATTTGATAGGCATTTTGTCAATATTATATAACAAAAAAGCTACATTTTATTGAGGGGCATTTGCAACCTAATCCCTTCATCATTTTTTGAACAAATGGGTTTCGATAATATAATGAAAGATTTTAAATCAGAATCCAAAACAACGCTAAAACACATGCAGATACAAAAACACAAATGCTTTTCAATAAACTCAGAAAGGGTGTTAAGATCAAAAGCTTTGACCAATATTTGAAGAAATAAGACCTTTTCATGATCATACGGTGATAAACAGGATTCACAAAATTCTTCGAAATAAATATACATAAAATAAAGGCTTGTTTAAATATCGAATAAAAGAATATATTTTCTTATCAAATTAGAAAATTTGAAATGCTTTTTTTAATGTATTCAAATACAATATGATCGATACATTCGAAGTAATAATATACATGATATATGTGCATAATATACCTGATATATGTGCCCAAAAACATTTGTATATTGGAAGTCAGGTTGTTATAAGCATGCTTTTTTCACATCTACTTTACCAATGCAAATAATACTATTGAGGGGCATTCGCAATCTGATCTCTTCATCATTTTTTGAACAATTGGGTTTCGATAATATTAATGAAAGATTTTAAATCAGAATCAAAAACAACGCTCAAACACAAGCAAATACAAAAACATCAATGCTTTTTGAATGAACTTGGAAAAGGTGCTAAGGGAACGACCATTTAACTTCGAGGGGAGCTATGGTTTTTTCCTAAACAAATATTCTGATCCCCAATTTGATGAAAAAAATTATTGTGGTCAAGCAGATGAAAAAAAAAATATTATGAATCTAGATTTTCCCCATACCTTATAGTGTTAAATTTTGAAAAAAAAAATTGATTGATAGCGTCGAAAAACTAAAAAAAAAATCTGACTCAGACAAAAAACCATAACCCACCCTACACCCACCCACTCCCCCTCCCCCCTCCTTGAAGTAAAATGGTTGCTTCCTAAGATCATAATCATTGAACAATGTTTCAAGAAATAAGACCTTTTCATGATCATACAGTGATAAACAGGATTCACAAAAATTTTCGGAATAGATATACATAAAATGTAGGTTTATTTAAATATAGAAAAGGAATATATTTTCTTATCATATTTGAAAATGTAAAATACTTTTTTTTTTTTTTTTTATTTATACAAATACAATATGATCGACACATTCGAAGTAATAATATACCTGATATATGTGCCCAAAAACATTTGTATATTGGAAGTCAGCTTGTAATAACTATGCTTTTTTCACATCTACTTTACCAATGCAAATGATACTATTGTAAGATATTTTAACATAATGTATTGGATTGTATGCTTTAACTAGTGATTTATGACCAGAAGGTGTGATGTCCTTATAGCCATAAGTGTGTTGTGATGGTATCACTTTCATGCTAAAAAATACTCTTACATTAAATATATGTTTTTTATAACGAGTGAGAATGGGATATCACTTGATATCAACTCGAGTTATTTGATTTCAATAACATAATTAACGAGCCTCAAATCTAAAATGTACGATACTAGAAAATCGTCGAAATTGAGTCAACCCTTCATGATGTTTGTAATTACTCTTGTATAGCGTCTCGTCTCTAATTATCAGTAATATCTTATCTCTCTTTTCCGTTCACTCAAAATAGTTCTGTCATAACTTTTTTAAACTTTGAAAATGTGGGAAATTTCTTTTATTAAAGTCAGAATATTTAAGACCAACATATTCTTTTAAATATTCATTATTAATACATGAATGTTTCTATCTTTTTATATGATTCTTTATCAAAAACTGATAACTTATTTGCGCAAAATGTTTTTCATTCATCTGTTATATAACATCATTCCTTTTCATTATTTCCCTCTCATAATATTATAAGATAAATTGCTTATCTTTAATATAACTTTATTTAAACATTTAATTATAACAAATAGTTCATGATTGTTTTTAGATTAAAAAAAAATTATGTATTTGGTAGCAGTTTTTTATAACTGCCTAGTGTTGAGACTACACATATGGTTCCACTTTAATTGTAGTTTATTGCATTTTCAAAAAGAAATGCCGAAATAATGATACATATTCCATTCTAAGCTTTATGAAATAATTTCTCATTTTCATCCTCATCATTGATGAATCGTTGCAAATTAGCTCGGCTAAATATATATGTCTTTTTGTGTGAATCCAGATAAATGTGTGTCATCTTTGAGAGTTGTAGCAGGTATTTTTAGTAGTAGGAAGAGATAAAATATTAGGAATCTCCTAGTTGCCCGACCAAACTGAGGATTACAAAACCTCTATCAGATAGCCAGTATTTGTTTTATAGCTGGATATATCTGCATAAAACATTATTGTAAATATAAGAATACTATAAACACTATGATTGTTTTTTGTGCGTATGCATATCTGATGACTAACTTCAGACAACAGTATTTTGTCAGTATTCTTATCTATACAAACAAAATATATCTTCAACTTTATTTAATGTCAGGTCATCATATTTATTTCAAGACATGTGTCTGAAAGACTTTATATTTTCTACAACTCTTTGTTCAATATGGATTTGACCTGAATTCTAACCTTTCAATAGATGTACGATTTTAACAACACATCGAATTTGAATATGTATATTTGAAATTATTTCAATAACCTTATGTAGTATATTAATATGAACAATGATAAGCTGCTAGATCGTTTTAAGACAATGTACGTAAGCCAAAGAGTTGATTCATTGTTTCTTTGTAAGAAAGAGGCGAAATATACCAAAGGGAATTCAAACTCACAAATCCAAAATCAAATAACAACACCTTGCTAAAAAAGAAAAAGTCTATCAGACAAACAACAGGACACAAAACACAACATAGAAAACTAAAAACTGAGCAACACGAACCCCATCAAAAACTGGTAGTGATCTCAGATATCCGGAAGGATAAGCAGATACTGCTCCACATGTGGCACCCCGTCGTGTTGCTCAAATAAGTACCAACTCGGTGATAAGTCTAAATCAGAAGGTAATTTTCGGGGAAACGGGGACGGGATTGTAGCTACGACAACTGGAACATATCCGTCGTCATCTGTGAAACAGATATTTCATAAGGGTCAACCAACTCGTGATGGCGTTCGTAAAATTTAGGAAGGATGATTTCAACTAACCCACTTGAAACTCTTAGTTTAATAGCTTCTTTGTGAGCAGAAACCCTCTATCAAGGTAATCATTATAAGAAATACAAGCCCTGGAATATCTTATCAACTGGGAGAAATATGCTCCGTATACAGGCGCTGCTGAAATGTTGCAACAAAGAAATGAAAGTTAACAACTAGGAAACAGAAATCATCTCGTTTCGCAGGTAGGTTAATGCTGTTCTACGGTAAATCGGCTATTTATTCATAAAAAATCATTAAAATGTGAATTTGTTTTTAATTTCAGTCAAGAAACTTTCATACCTAGAACGAATTTTGATCATCCCTTATATATATCATCCAAACTTTTAATTTCTGGTGTCTTAGAACCCCCCACTTGGTTACCATGGTAACGGGCGACATTAAAATATGGCGTGTGAACTTTTAACTTCAAGAACCCGGTATACCCCACAGAACTACACCAATGAATGAAAATAAAGTTGTATTTGGTTGATAAAGATGTTATCTTTCTTGTAACAGCTGTTTCTTGCTTAAAATATGCCTTTTTCTAACAAAAAAATAACAGAAGTGACATACAATCCAACCATGCCTACACCAAAAACCAAATTCCTTGTCAATTGTAAAAGTGTTGTGTTCATTTTAAATACAAAAAGAGCAATCTCGGTATTCATGAGCTTTCCAAGAATAAATATGCCAAGTTTTAAAGATACCAATAAATATTAACGGGGTGCGCCAATGCCATCTTTATAAATGAGTGATACACAAGTCCTTTCACGGCGACATTTAAACACCGAAATGATTAAGATTCGATTGTTCCTCTTTACGGTGTCAAAGTGCTGGGAATGAAATAAACGACATTTTGACAATTTTGACTTGAAATGGACACACTAAAGATGTAAAACAATGTTATTCTTTTAATTTTTATACTTGTATGTGTTCATGAATCTTGAAAGAATCACGGTGCACACGAATGTTATGAGGGAAAAAAGGGGGGACATTCTAACAATAGCCACCTTATATTTTGAAAGAGCTTTCGTTACCCCATGTTCTGTAAGAGCTTTAATATAATACTTTCATTTCTTTGTCTTCAATGTTCCAGAGTCAGTTTGAACATGTAATTCTTCCTTTTGTTGTCATACTGAAAATTGCTTCATTCCAAAGTTCACATGTAAGTGAAATGGCATGGATTATTTCATATTCAGCACTGTTATAGTTTTGATATATGTCCTCAAACTTTTATCTTTAAAACATTCATTTCACTTTCTTTTCATACATAGATCTAATATGCATATATCTTACATTATCTCAATATATGGTTATAAATGGTCTGACAATTTCCTTGTGTGTGTTGATCTTCAAAGCAAACCAGTGCTTTCTCTTTTTCTTCGATTACTTTTTTCCAATTTCAGTTTGTAAAAACTATTATAACACCATTGCTTCCAAGTCATCTTAATACTGAAAAATATAATGTAAACAGTAAAAATAGTGGTAATTTAAAAGTTATTGGTATTAATGTAATGATACAAATAGAAAACTTCAGTTAAAATTTTGTGTTCCAAAATCATTATGCATTGATTTAAAATGAACTTTTAATATATTTGTTTTCTGTAAAACTACAATAAAAGTTTAACTACAGTTTACTTTAACTGGTATTTACCCATCACAATGCTTTTCCAATTTGTTATTAATTATGACTGTATCAATATTGATCAATATTGAGTAAATGTTACCCTGACAATACAGCAAAATTTAATTATCCTTATGGGCAAAAAAAGCAGAATAAAAGGCTAAAAAATTAAATAATAAAAAAAGGACCAATAAGAAAAGAGAATAATGAGATGTTAAAACACAGAGAATAGAGAATAATGGGCAAAATAGATTAAGAATAGAGAAAATGGTATAAAAAAGAACAAAGAAATGAAGGACCCCCATCAAGACTCATACATTATAATATTAATGCTTGCATTGTGTAGACCTACTGTTTGATATTATAGAACTTCATGTCTTTAGGCATTGAAATGCCATTTTAATGTGTGCATGGTGTAAATCAATCTGCAAAAGAAGTAACAATAATTACTGAAAGGTTTCAAACTAAATTTTAACACACCAGATTGTTAAAACAAAAATAAGATTTATGTGAATGTTTTAAGTGATGCTTGTCAACTTATGAAAAGATCTACACAAAGAAACATAGACTTCAGATACACTTTTTTATAGGTAATCAATATAACAAATTAACATTAATCGAATGACTAATAGATCTATAAACATAAGAAGAACAAATTAATAAAGAAAATATTAAATGTACACAAAAAGGGATGATTTAAAATGAGAGTATAATGATTATCATATTTAAAACCATCAATAAAAAATTGTTTTTAAATTATCATGGCTAATGATAATAAATTATAGTTTTAACATATTTTAACATCTTATATGCTTGCCTAAGCAATTTTATTAAATGCAGGCAAGCCATTAGTATGATTGCATGCACAGTGCCATGTATGCATATATTTTAACTATCTTTTTGTTTTAGTTTTGTTATATGTTATACATTGGAATAAACATCTAGTAAGGAAATAATTTTTCAGGTGCAATTAGAGCAATCTGAAGATTCATGCTCAAAATATATATACTTAATAGATCTTAACAGATCAACATAAAATTAAATCATGACATGCATAAGACTTAGAGGCGAATTAAGGGGAAAAGGGGGGTTTGTGGAGGGGGCGGTGGCGGTCATGGTGCTCGGACTTTTAACAAATTCCACTTACGTTGCATTGTTGATGGCCATCATGGGCCCCTATTTAAAAATCTTGGACCCGCATCTGTGCATGGCAGGTCAGTCTGCAAATGTCGACATCAAGTTACTTAGTCAATGGTCAAAAACACAAACAAATACTGGGGTACATATCAGGTACTGTGAGAATATCCTGTCCCACATGTGACACCTATCATGTTGGTCTTGGTAAGGTCAAATTCGATGTTATGTCTTATTCGGTGATGTACCAATCTAAGAAAAGAGAACAAATAATGTTACGACAATAGAGTAATATTCCCTTACAGTCAACGAAGTCATATTGATATGGCACCCATGTGCTTGTTCTATTTCAGAATGTCCTACTGGATTCACATCAAAGGCAGGATCTAAATGTATTCCTTGTCCAGGAAACACTTACGGACTGAGATGTGCAGAACATTGCAAATGTCACGATGATGAAAGGTAATTTAATCGACAAAATTGATTTTTATATACTCAAAAAGTACAGTATAACATTAACAGTGCCATAATTTGTAACTGAAGACGATCTCAATGCCGTATTATTTTACATATAAGGGGCTTTGTGACTTTCATCCTTAGTTACATTCTTTCAACCAAAAGCATATTATAAAGAGCAATTCATCATTTTGATTTTATTAGAAAGTTATATTCTTGCTCAGTCTTTTTTTTATAATAATTTTCAAATAAAGACTTCATTGTCACTTTGTATGTTTCCACTTCGAGCATTTTTATTGCATTTCATTAGGAAACAATGTGTGATTACAATGATGAGGTTACTCATAATCACATAAAAATCTGATTACGGACCTGTCTTTGAAAAACAATGTATTTGTTTAAAGACGTGTTCTCAACTTCAATTTCTCTACCAACTTCATGTGATTTGACTTCACCTTACACATACAGTCTGTTGGATATGTTGATGAAATAACAATATAATGTTAAATAATTATATAGAAAAGGGCATTTTATGGCGTATTATGCTTTGTCCACTTGAGCCATTTTGCGATTAGTGGGACGAAAGATACCAGAGGGATAGTCAAACTCATAGATCGAAAACAAACTGACAACACCATGGCCAAAAATAAAAAGACAAACAGACAAATAATAGTACAGATGACACAACATAGAAAACTAAAGACTAAGCAACACGAACCCCACCAAAAACTGGGGGTGATCTCAAGTGCTCCGGAAGGGTAAGCAGATCCTGCTCCACATGTGGCACCCGTCGTGTTGCTTATGTTATTACAAATCCGGTAAATAGTCTAATTCGGTAAGTCACATTCGTGAAAAGGGAAGGATATTGTAGTTACAACATAAGGAACATATCCGATATCATCTGTGAAACGGTTATTCCATAACGGTCAACCAACTCGTGATGGCGTCCGTAAAATGTACGAAGGGATGATTTCAACTTCACCATTTGGAACTCTTGGCTTAATAGCTTCCTTGTGAGCAGCAATCCTCTATCAAGGAAATCATGGTAGGAAACACAAGCCCGGGAATATCGTATCAATTGGGAGATATATACTCCGTATGCAGACGCTGCTGGAATGTTGCTACATAGAAATGGAAAGTTCACAATTGGGAAGCTGAAATCATCTCTTTTGTCGTAAAGTTTTGTTTTCAACCGACCCTCATTGTCAATTTCTAGATGTAAGTCAAGATAACTATCGCATCATAGTAATTGGAACTTCTATTCGTTTGCAATTACTTAATTAGTAGGGGTTAATACCTTAACGCAGGGGAATGTGTTTAGTCTGTGTTCTATTCCCAAATGTGAAAATTTGACTGAGGTGTGATTCGCATGATTGATGATGCATGTATAGCAGAAAACAATTGCGCTGTCGATCAACTTGCATCGTTCCGAGAATATCCGATTTCCTCAGGTTATTTGTATCAGGATTGTATATTCTATATTGATTTAGAAAATCGTGTAATACTTATGAATTAAATGCTTTACACGCAGACGAATGATATATTCCAAAATAACTAGAAATCAGACTTTGGTAACTTTGTCATAAATTCATATTTTTCAGATGTGATCATGAACACGGTTGTGTCAAGCTTGGCGATGAAACCATTACCATCGACAAATCAGGTTTCATGCTTTTTCATTTCTTTAAAATTAAACCTACAAATTTCTAGATTAACGTACGCGTTCCTCAGAAATATTCAAACCTTAACATTTGGAAGCTAGGTAAATACGCTGCAATGTTTTGAGCTTGAATGTGTATGACCAAAAGGGACCTAAACAGAATAATCAATGAATTGTCAAAATCCGTCTCAAGAATACCTGTTGGGTTACTCCTTTAGTACGTAGTAGAAATATCTGTATACACAAAAAGGGAGAATCAATTGATGTGGGTTTGGAATTAATGCCGAAGTTTAATACCAGAAAGTTCTATGGACGCACCATATGTATAAAGTAAACTCTTTTGTTCGTGTTAAGTTGTTCCAAAATACATGCCATCTAATCAAAATAACTCTTGTTTCTTACTAAAATGTGTAGTTCAATATAAAAAAAAACACTGACCAGTAAAATATAAATAATGTACATCACCAGTAACATAATTCCTTTAAATGATAAATAACTCGGTAAACCATTTTAAATGAGAGGCGAAAAATAATCCCTTTTGCAAACCTCAGAGGGAGTGTCATGATCCCAGGTAGTCTGTTAATGTGGCGGAAGAAGCCAAAGTACTCGGAGAGATCCATAAGGGATCCTCGGCGGAAACAAGCAAACCAAAGTGATATCAACTTTTACCAAACGAGACCAACCAAGTACCTATGCCAGTTTAAACTCATTTTGGGTAGCAGATATGTGAGTTGGAGGTTAACAATTACCTTACCAATGTACTGCAGTTTCCAGTGTCCCGAGTCGCGGATCGAACCCGAGATCTTCAGCACTATAGTCATTGATCTTAACCACTAGGCCACGAAACAAAACCTTTCGCAATTGTATCTTATTTCAACAATATGCTAACTTAATTTTAAGCATGTCATATGTTTGTTATGAAAGATATATACTGTGTCTTAAAGTTGGGAATATATATTACATTTTTTTAATATATATTACCATCAATCTATTTTAACAGTTTTTTATTGCAATTCTATAGACGTGTATTTGAGTGCTATTCTATATTGTTTTACCCACAAAACATGCTCTTTAAAAATCTTTGATTCAACATTAATGGCAATCTGAAGTGAACAACGATAAGTCAGATAACTAAAGTTAAAATTTTCGGAAAAGGTCCTTGTCTCATACACTCACCTCAGTACTTGGTGCATTTTTCCAGTCCATAAGCACATGTTGTTTGTTAACAATGCTGCCGCTGCTTTTAAACTGCTGGTCCCTAAAGAAGATGCATGCAAACATCGAATGGTGGTTTAAATTCACTAAAGCATATTTCGTGTATCTTTTTTGCATTTACTAGAAACAAATTACCACGACTGTTTTTTTTTTTTTTTTATATTTCAAATATGAATAAAATGTCGATTCTGCTAAAATATAAAAATCAATCGACAAATGTGAATACAATATTTCAAGATAATCAATACTATAATCGAATCTGTAAGTCGCCCTCATTTCAGAAAAGTACTAACTCTATTGGTGCACAACAATGCAGTTGTGAAGCAAAAAGCATTTATTGTTTTATTATTGCAATTTATCAAATTAGATTCTGCCAAAACGCGTTAAAAGTGTTTGAAAGTTAACATTTTATAAAAAAACACATTTATAACACAAATAGTTCTTGGAAATAGTAATTTGCACCAGTCCCTCTTTAACCAGTCTTCTTGCTAAAACATAATCTGATTAGATGCTTAATTACATGTAAAACTTGGTACAAGCTTCGAATCGAAACTGTTTATATTGTATTCAACAATTATATGTCGGTCATATCTGTAAACATCCATGTTATACTAAACTAAACCTGTTTATGTGTAGCTTCTCCGTCTTCCAGATCAGATCAATCTGCAATAAAGGTGGTGTTTACACTGTAGATTGTTATACTCTCTAATGAGTATTCGATTTGGTTAAGTTAAACATACTGAAAGTCGGATCTCCTTTCCGTCATTTGCATCGGTTTTTGGATTTTTTGTTTCTTGTATTGTAATAAGTGTTGGCTATTGTTGCATTTACATAGTTTTACAATAAATATATACGGGTGAAAAAAAAATCAATTTCCGAGATATACTCAATTAAAGGTCTTTGGTAAACTCTGCTGTATTCACAAATATATTCAAATGTCCTCTTATTTAAGATTTCTATACATCTACAAATGTGACGACACTGTTGTCGATTTATCCTGCAAATAAGACTGGAAGCTATTTACTGACGGTAGAAGGTGGTGAATCGAAAATTGCGGAAGGCCCTTCTGGTAAAATGTACAATAAGTAATATGAAAGAGCTATTTCGGTATAAGATAAACTTAAACGCATGTTTTAGTGTGTAAAAATCTATAAATTACAAATAATTAAAGATGTTACGAGAGTTTAGCATTTTGGTAGAACTTAAAAGCGAAAATAAACATTCGAAAAATATATAAAAGAAGAGATGATCTATTTTATATTTTGTTTTTTGTAGTTACTTTTGCTAAGTTTAAGATTAAAATTTTAATTTTGAGGTAAAGACGTTGATAAATTAAGGCCTGTAGATTGAATTTTGTGTGTAACGTTTTAATTAGTTTGTAGTTAAAAGTAAAATCCCAAAAATACTAGATCCGAGGAAAATTCAATCGGAAAATCCCTAATCATATGGCAAAATCAAATGACAAAACGCATCAAACGAATGGACAACAACTTCTGGTAAAATCAGTTAATAAGAGCTGTTATAATAACGTTTCAAACATAATCAAATTACTTTAAAAGAAGGCAAAGATGATCAAATGGCTCACGAATGTACTAATATATCATTATGATTGTTTATTATTTGCCATACAATTATGTTTTTCTCCTGTATAACTCTAACAAAACTAGAGAAGCACATTTTACTTCATTATATAGTATTCTACATTCTCGTTTGAGGACACATTCTTTTATTACCTTGCATACTTTTTATGTTGTTTTTTTTTATTATTTCAGATGCTTCAACGAATAAGATAATTTCGTATGGTATAGGTGGGGGCAGTGCAATAAGTGCTATAATTCTTATAGCTTTGTCTGTTTTCATTTGCTGGAGGTATAGGCTTATGAAGAAAAAGGAGAGGCTCGACTCTATTCATTCCAATGCACCGTTGACTCAACAGTCTAATGTCTCGAACACGGTCGAAGACCAATCAACTATTAGCGAAGAGGCACATGATTATGAAGAAATTGATGAAATTGATATACCATGTGAACCGATTACAAGTAGTAACACTAATGACTCCAATGATAACAGCGTCACTGATGGAGCAGATAATGAAGGATATTTGCACCCTTATCATTCATTAAATTATCCCGATATAATTCAAGAAAATGATAAAGAAAGGGAAAAGAATGATATCGATATGAATATCCAAGAAAAGTATCAGTATTCCTTGTCAGTAAAAGATTAAAAAAGGGCTCAAAACCTGAAGAACTAGTTTCGGAAGAAGATATTATTTATTTACAAGTTATTGATAAACAAAATATGGAAGATGAAGGTGACCAGAAAGCAGAGTCCAATAAAGTTCTTTTCTTTTTATGATAGTAAACGATGATGTTTAAAAGAAAGAACAATTTTAAAACCACTTTTTATTGAATTAGACCAAAATACACTTCAAAATTAAAGAAACAATCAATATTGATATCAACAACATATTCTTATAAATAACATGTTCAACCAATGTAGATTTTAATAGGTTTGGTTTTTTTTATTAATGAAATAAGTTATAATAAAATGTGACCCTAATTATTTCCGATAAACAACTAACTTGCCAATGTTAAATAAAAGCCGCCACGCTGCATCTCTATATCAAAAAGGATATTAGGGATGTACTTCAAAGAGACAGCAAACCAGCAAAACAAAGCCAATACACATTAATGAAGTCAAAGCATACATATTGTGGTAATCAAAGTTAAACCCAATATTAACGGGCAAGTTCTCACATTTTTATCCTCCTGTCCAGCGCACAAAATTTAATTCGAGTCTATACTAGGTATTTGCTTATTAAACAGTGACGGACAACCAGCATACAAGCAATGAATGTTGTATTACAAAAAACAAAAAAGATCGAGTAAGTAAGATGAGAGGTTTCCTTCTGGTACAGGGGTTGTCAATAGTAGGTTAAAACTAAGGTCTAGAAAGGTCTTTCTTGTAGGAAAAACAAACCAAATGTAAATCGTATTCTTTATAGCTACTAAACTGATCAATGATCTCACTAATATAAACGTCTTTTGACCTGCTCATCTAATATTCTGTAATTATAAACAAATATAAATGTTCAACAATGGCGAACTCTAATATATTCTTAGTAATTTCATTCTGCTAGTTTGCTGTGTCGTTGAAATTGACAATATATATTGTTTATTAATGAAACAAAGCAAATATCTTCCATGTTCTGATACGTGTACATTGATTCTTCGAGTAAATTCTAGTGCTGAGCCATCAAAACATGTTCTGGTTAAAAACAATTAAGATTACACTAATTTGTATTGATTGATTGGCGGCCCGTCTGTGATCAAGAGGAAAAGCGAATAATTATTAGTACCACCGGTAGTCCTTTCAGCAAGTTGATAATGTAGATAAAATAGCCTTGAATTTAGAAAGGGTTGGTTCCGAATGTATACATAAACAGAATGAACAGAAACTAAATTATTATCGGACAAAACAAGTTAAGGTTGCAATATTAATGCTTGTAAGCGGTGTTAGGAATTTGACTTAAGGTAAATATTCGCAATGCAATTTTAATTTTATCTATTGTTAACATTACAAATTTCTTAACTGTGTTCAAGATTGAATTAAGAATAAACAAAAATATGTATCCTATATACAATTCCAGTTAAAATTGTAGTTTCACACCTAATCTCTGCGAGAATGGTTGCAATGGTATTTCAACTTGCTGAGAATTAGGAACTCTTAATACGCATGGCTCCGGAGTTAACGTTTATATTCCGACCAGATGTGACTGAATATTGAAATCTAGCACAACAAACCGGAAGACCTATTTTAACAAGGCTTGTACATCTAAAACGGTAAAAATCTAGATGACCATATGTCTATACCACAAGTATTTAACCATTGAGGATTTCTTATTTATAAGAAAATAACAATGCTTGATTGAGATATATGAGAGTGAAATTGTTTGATTCCATATAAATTTTCCTTGAAGATGAATAATAAATTGAAACCTAATTTAAAAGCTTATTTCGGTTATATTTCATGTAAAAGATGGCGATATATAATTCGCAAATTCGTAAACCCATTGCAATACCTATAGAGAAAAAAAAGAAAAATCATTGAAGTTGACCTTCTAAATATAAAAGAGTAATAAATGGGCAGTTATGAAAAACAGCATGTATTAATCTGTATCTATTACATACTTTAGAGGTTAGGTTTGAGGTAGATACAACACCAAGTTACTGGTGCCATACTTCCCCAATAATTCCTTGAATTTGAAATCTATCAAAAAAATAAGATGATGCAAACAAATATTGTAATTGCATTATGAGACCTAATTGAATCACGCGCATGTCAAACCTATCGAAATAGGCAACAACAAAAAAATCGACATCAGGAAGAAGAAAATTCATATTGGCCAAAGATAAGTCGTCCTCATATTCTCATACGTTTTGGATTAGAATAAACGTGCCTAGTTATAAAAGAAGTTAAAACAAAGGGAAACCAAACCGTTTTACGTATGAATTATTAAGACTGATTTCAAACGTATAAGTGAAATTGAATTATTTAGAAGGGTAAAACGGATGTAATTAGACAGATGTCGTCATAAAATCTGCATATACTAATGGAAATTACCATCAAGTGGTATATTTAATGGTATTTATTAAATTAAGGAACACCTTTGCAATGAAAGGGGTTCATCTTGTTTACGAACGGAATAACAATCACTTGACGATATTATGTATGTCAAAATGAACATTGATATCACATGTATAAATTAAAATGCTATCATTTTTTTCGTTTTGCATTCGTTTTTAGTACAGAAGATATTCTGTCGTGTGAGTATAGCATTAAACGAATGTTGCAATAAATATACTCATAAATCATCATGTACAAAAATGTACTGTATAAATGTTCTGTCGTAAGAAGACCAGCGAGATGTAAGGTTAAGTAATTTTGTTATTGCTCTTTGATTTGTGAAACATGTCATTGACATACAATATAACGCACACATATTTCTAAAACACTTTTGATTATTTGCAAAAACTCTTTTATTCCGTTCTTAAACAAGATGAATCCCTTTCATTGCAAACGTGTTCCTTGATTTCATAAATACCATTAAAACACCACTTGATGACAATGTTGTCAATATAATGGAATTCTATGCGACTGTCGTACAAATGGGAGGTTTAGCTAGCTATAAAACCAGGTTTAACCCACCATTTTCTTCATGAAGAAATGCTTGTACCAAGTCAGGAATATGACAGTTGTTTTCCATTCGTTTGATGTGTTTGAGCTTTTGATTTTTTCATTTGATAACAGACTTTCCGTATTGAATTTTCCATGGAGTGCGGTATTTTTGTTATTTTACTTTTTTTTATAGTAACTGAAAGTGTACATAGGTAATCATGTTTGAACAGATGTATTATAGGTATGTTTATTTGAACATAGGTTGGTGAATATGAAGAAATGGTATACATTAGATGCACTTTCCAAATTACTGTTAGTTATACAACAGTAATAATCTTTCTACTTTGTATTATTCGATGTTTCTTGTTTAATTTTTGACACACATCTTTCTTCCGACAGTATGACACTGCTAGACAAGAGGACAGTATGAAAACTAGTAATAAACCAGTGCAAATGATGTAGATACACTGGCAAAAATGCCACACATGTGTACATGCGTGACACATGCGTTTCACATGTGTGTCACACGCATGTGAAAGAGACGTTTCATGCCACGCATGTGATACATGTGTGGAAAACACATGTGATACGCATGATACACACATGTGATCATGCGTTTCACATGTGAATAACATGCGTAAGGAAATACACCTGTGATACATGCGTGATTACTGCATTTAAAAGGCATGGTGCCTGTATTAAATATTTTTCAAAATGTCCTCCTATTTGTCCAATTACCATGATTGTTGACATGCATCTTAGTTCTCAAGTGAATTACATGCGTTTTGTAACACATGCGTTATACATGTGTTTTCTATATATATACACAGGCAAATTTTGTTCACGTAAATTTCTTTTGAGATTCACCTCAAACAAGCTTATACATGAAACTCATGTGCAATTAATGTGAATTGAGCTTTAATGTGAAATTCATGTTAAATGTTTCATGTGAAACTAACATGAATCAAGCTTTCATGTTAATTTTTCTAAAATGAAATTAAGGTGACTATTGAGCATCAATCACACAAATTCACAGTATTTGAGCATATTTTAGATAAGTTAATGCTAATCTAGTACACATTCTATTTTGATATATATAAATATTCTTCTTGGTCTTGACTATGTGTTCATACTTCCATTATATTTTACTTTCTTGATCCTAAACAATACAAAAATATTTATCTATCAACTCCCAATATCTCCAATTCAAGAGATAGGATGCAATAAAACAAAGAAGGCAAGCAAATATCCAGGTCACCTTAGTTCACTCCTAGAATTTTTTCGGTTATGGTCAAGTCTCAATACTTTTTTTTTAAAAGTGATGTAAGGATTGGTGATTCATTTATAGAATATGCATGCACTGATGTGTATTTCATTTTTAATATGTATGTACAAGTCATTTTGTGATTATCAGTCATGAGACAATGCAATCACATTGTGGAAATTGTCTCACTTGCGAAAAGATCCCAATTTTTTCTTTTGAAAGTTTTGAGGAAAAAAAGTAGTTCACCCTGCCACATATTCATGTGCCTGTTTCAAGCCAGGAACCTTTTCAGTGGTTGTCTAAAGTCTCATCCTAATAAAAAAAAATATTTAAAGAATTTGGTGTTGATGGAAGCTCTTTGATTGGTATAGACTCTGGTTAATTAAGTAGATCATGACATATACCATATTGAAAGTCTTGCTGTTATTTACAACCATTTCCTTCTTATTTCATATATGTATTTCAGTTTTTTTCATTTCAACACCAATCTTAATAAGGTTAAGGCAAAAAGAAAACAAATGTTGACAAACAACAGGCATATACCATTAGAAGATCTCAAAGTTTGGCTGCACAATAGACTAAAAATTCTTGTTATTTCAAATATTTATATAAAATTCAGTTTAAAACATACATTTTCCATTTTTAGACTATAATTGTCATGTTGACACAATAATTTGAATTTGAATTGTATTATATTCTGAGAGTACTTGTGGTTGAAATAATATACACAATATTTAATTTCATGTGTTTTAGATTCTTAAATACACCACTCCCATATAATGACTACATGTCTGTTAGTAATGTTTAAGAGTTCTCTCCTGCATGTAATTGCTGTAATTGCTATTTGTACCCAATGCTTCCTTCATACATTTCACTACAAACCAGTAAAAGTCTGAAATGGCCTATATCTGTACTCGACTGTACTTATTTTTACTCGACCAGTCTGAATTGGTCTGAATTTTACTCGACATTACTCGACCCCAGTCTTAACCATACTCGACTGTACTGATTTGTACTTGACCCTTATCTTTGCCATTGAAAATAGTCTGAACTATAACTCGACCAGTCTGAAACAGTCTTAACCCATTTTCGACCTATTTTTTTCAGTCTAAACCATACT